ATTTTTGAAGGAAACATTTGTTATGGACGATTGTTCCGGATTGGAAAAAAGAAGAAGATTTGTTTTATATCAAAAAACCTGCCGAGTGGTCTGGTCTTGACGTTTATTTCATAGGTGTGGGCATGTTCTTTGAATTTCTTGCTAGAAATATATAATACATGCTTGTGTTTATTAACAAACGAAGACAGCATTATATTTTTATAGGCTTCGATTCTTTATCTCAGATGTCGTTTCGCCGTAAACTACCGAAAACAGTCAAATATATTGAAGAAGAATTCGATGCAGTTATACTTGATGGTGCGCAGCGTTCATTTAATAATAAAATCAAAAGAAGAGACATATCTTTAGTTTGCTGGTAGGCAGCCGAACTACAATTAATTCAGTGAAGACATTGAATATTTATCTTGTCGTGGTTAACCGGTTATTTCTGTTGATCTAGCAATATTTAAAATAGATATGAGTACGAAGAGTTTCAGTTATTAATTTGAGCTAATTTGTAAGGAATTCAATGCTTTTAATTTTATTAAATTTTTAAGGATACAACATTGTTGGAGATGGTACTCCGCAAGCATTCATACCGATTCTAACTGGACAAACAGAAGAGGAACTGCCCCTCACACGGTTAAGTTTCTGTCATATCTATTATGTTGGCCGTTCTTTTTTTCATTTTTCATCTCTTTCATCCATTTTTTCCTTAAACAAAGAAACCTCTCCACTCTTTCATATGCAGGAAATGTTAAAATGTTTTTCTTTCAATGAGCTTCTTTAAGTTGTGACAATCAAAATTAATAATACTTTCATCCGAGTATTCAACTTGATCCTTCAGGATCAAATTGAATACTAAAAAATTAAAAGTTCCAAACTTCTTTTATTCTACTTACTGCCAGTTTGAATGTTTCTTCTATCCTTTTCGAAGACACCATGGATTGATTTTTCTTTAAAAAAGTAATTCAAATGCACCATATTTCGGCAAATAAAAGCATTGTTCTTTCCGCTAATGTAAATGTGACAGAAAAAGTTAGGAGGTAATCAATAACTGCAGTTATTGACTGTCTTCTTACAGCAAACGTTTCGCAGAAGCAAGTTATGTTGACGAAGTATATCCATTTGTATGGAAAAATTTTTCTGATGCAGGTTATATAACGTTGTATGCGGAAGACTCAGCAAAACTCGGAACGTTTACATATCGTCTTAAGGCAAGAATTTATTTTTTCGTTTTTGATTCTGATTCCGAGTAGTTGATTTATTTGCATTAATTTAAAGGTTAAAAAACTTGAAAACTTGGCCAGTAAGTTGAAATTTATATGAACAAATTTTTCAGGGTTTTAAAAATCAACCAACAGATCATTACGTGCGGACGTTTTTTCAAAAAGCTGAAGATATGTTTTCCAGTTTGCAGTGTTTGGGTTCGGTGCCAATGCACAAGGTTTTTGTATAATTTTACTCAGTTTCTAATTTTAATTTTTCTCACAAAATCGTGATCTATCTTGTGCTGGATAGCAATTTTCTAAAATAGGAACTTTCTTTACTTTATCTTTGACCTGACGATTAGCAAAAAAATGATAATTGGAAAAAATCTTTTTTTTTTGTACTGTCAGAATAACAAATAGTGCCATAGAGCAAAAAACAAAGCATTTAAAAAGTGAAATTGGATAATTCATGTACTCACAGTAATATGTATAATATATATGCTTTGTAATTCGATATTGGTGGTTCTGATGTGTTTTATTTTTATTATGTTTTACGTGTTTTAGGAATGGTTTCGATATACGAGTGAGTTCATGGAGAGATACGGATATAATACATCAAAGTTCTTGCTTGCATTCCATAGCGTATTAAGCCATGATGATGTTAATTTGGTGGAGGTTGCTGATGAGGATACGATGTTAAATCTCAAAAAATTAAAAGAAAGTGGTGCTCTTGATAATGCTTTAGTCATTGTAATGGCCGATCACGGACATCGTTTTGCGAAATTTCGTGCCACTCATCAAGGTTCGTTCGAAGAAAAGATCTGGGTTTCTGAAGATCTGCATTAAAAATTTTTGGTTTTATATCTGCTTATTCATTAGTCAGGAATTTTTTGGAAAATAATATGAGTATACAATTTTAAGGACAGCTGGAAGAAAGGCTTCCATTTTTTTCGCTCTCACTTCCGAAAAAATTCAGAGAAAGCGATAGAGGAAGGACAGCATGGAAGAATTTGAAAGCTAACAAAGAAAGGTTTATTATTGGGAAGCATTTAATTACATAGATTTTTTTCTATAATTATTTCTTGTTGTCCAAGTGATGCAATTTTTTAAAAAACAGTCACCAGTCGTGGTTTAATGTCGGCATATTTCTTTTGGTTCTGCTGAGTTCTATATAATGGTTAAGGCATTATAGCTTTACAGTTTGTTTGATTTATTTTGTTTCAGATTGGTAACTCCATTCGACATACACGTTACATTGCTTGATATACTTCACTGGCCAACAGAACAGGACTTAAATACTATGGGTGATGTAAAATCCCGTTCCTTGTCACTTTTTAGACCGATTCCTCCATCAAGAACCTGCGAAGATGTTTTTTTTTCTTTTTGAATATTTTGTTTGTTCGCAAATATCAGTATTGTCAAGATGCATTTAACTGAGTTTTTTGTACACTTAAAAGTTATATCAATGCTTATATAGCTTTTGAACATCTACCATTCGATGTGTGTTCAATTATTTTCTAAGGTTGTATTCCAATAGGCGTAATATTTCAAATATAATATATATATTCCAACTTTCACATGACCCATTCCATAATTTGGTCGAGGATTTCCTAGTAGTATCCAAAAAAGAAAAGAAGTTGGAGGCTTTTGCCTTTTCGTTATAACTATTTTTGGATTTTATTTTGCATGTTATAGGCTGGTATCGAAATGCACTGGTGTACATGTATGAATTGGGAATCAGCTATGGATAATAAAGAGCAAGCAAATATATCTATGATGTTGACTAAAGCTGTTGTCCAAACTATCAATTCACACACGAAATCTCAACGACGCTTATGTGCTCCTCTGAAATTGGTTTGTCAACTACTGCTTAAAAAATCAGGTTAATAATGCTATTAGAAAAAGTGATGAAAATTTCCAGGCATTAAGCAGTACGTGTACCGTGTAATTTTAGACTTTTTAGTAATACATTGTATTTTTATGATAAGATTGACTGTCTACTTAATTAATTCATAACAATAAAGTTATCTTTTGTTTTATACGTTTCCCCGAGTTCTATTATGATTGCTTGTATAACGGCCATTATTACTTTTACAGTTTATGAACCATAAGATCAAATCCATAATATTGTATTCGTTCTTGGAAACCATTTTGTTCTTAAGCATTATTTCAATCCTCGTATAATCCAAACTTTCCATTTTACTTTTTTTTTATATATCAGTGATATTTTACGATATTAAGTAATGTTTGTTTTATTGCTCTCCAATAAGCTATGTTTTTTTTCTAAGGTAAAGCTGGAAAGTGCTTGGAGACTTGTCCCATATGAAAATTTGCTTAAATATAAGGATACAAAAGATGAAGATGGTTTTGTACCAAATTTGGTTGCCGAAACCAAAGCTGCATTTGCACATTACCAGTTGAGATTTGTTACGAAACCAGGAAATGCTCTGTATGAGGTGAATCTTTTTAAAATTTTGTTAATGAGTTGTTGACTGTTCATACTCTGCAAAAGCATCAGATTCATTATTTCTCACTTTAAAAGCAAAAAAAGGTTAATACTTCGCTCCATAACCTCTCATAAGCCCTTTTGAAAGAGACTGACATGTGACATGTAGATCATTTTGTCTGATTCATTCGTCCCTTAGACTATGATTTTTTGGCCTGCTCTTTCCTGTGTTTTTTAACTTGTTTAAATTAGATTGTGACAGAAACCTGACTTAATTCTACTTAAGATTCTGGATAATTGATATCAAGGCTCCATGTATTTGATAACTATTTCATTATATGTTACAGGCAACCGTCCAATATGATGTATTAAAGAATGTAATAACAGTGGATATGACATCGATCAGTCATATCAACAGATACGGCAATTTGTCTCATTGTATCATGGATATAAACTACTTTTTAGCAGCGTATTGTGTTTGTTATGATAGGATCGACATACATAATTCACAGCAGTAAAATCAGCTATTGTATTTTTACATTCTCCTTTGTCCATTATGAATCCTTGTATAATATCTTTATTACACTTTGCGATCACCTGAACATATTATTATGTTGTCACTATTGCTGATTTTATTACAAATCCCATTATTTCTTCCTTCATGTGATGTTGAGGAGATACTATTTGCAGATTTTTTCTTGCAGTCCGTTTACGTTATAACTCCTCATTTTCACGGTCTATCAGACATCTCGAGTTGGAGCTTTACAGGTGCAATATTGTTTGTCTAATCTGGAACCCAAGAGTCGGTGAGGTATTTTTTTTTAGATAAATAAATTGGAAAGCAGATACTGAACAATAAAAGGAAACAAAGTTGATGATAAGAGGGGGAGAATGATTATGAAGGAAGTTATTAGTATAAGCCGTTTCTTACACGCAAATCGTTGTGAATAAGGATTTTAGAGATGAATTCAAAACTTAAAAGTAACGCATTATAGAACAGTATCTCTCATCCACACTCCTTAATCCGTGTGATATTTGTGTCCATTATCTAAGATCTTAAGAGGAAATTAGTATAGTTTTTCTTTTCCAAATAAAAAAATAGTTTTTCTTAATTCACTTAGTAATTGCAGGTAGTTTTTAGGCTTATTTCAAGTTGATATGTTGTATTCACTTTTCATGTTTTCAGAGTTTGCATATTTTATTATTTTTATCATTATCATTATTACTATTGTGATGAATAACTCCACTCCCTGAGGCGTGTCTGCTAAAATTTATGTTTTTTAAAACATTAAGATGGTGTATTTTCTCGATTGATTGTCATTGTATTCTTGTATTTCTAACTGTTTAAAAGTGTTTTGATATGTTGTTTTTAATAAGTTTTTACTGGCTTCCCTTATCGAAAATGCAGCTCAGGAAACGAGAGATTCTTTGGAGAGTTTCCCTTACTGATGCCACAACACTTTGGCCTAGTACAGACCATTCAGAAAAAGGTTTTAGTATCAGAGTTGTCTTGATATATTATACATGCATGTTTTATTGTCTATGTTAACGCGTTTAAATATCAGTAACTGGTTGTAACATGTTTCTGTAATTTACTCAGTGTGATTAACATTTGCTTTTTTGTCGTTTAATGCATAACACTGTGTCAACGTTGTGACGGGTAGTAAAGATTAGACTAGCAATTGACGTATAAAGTACCGTTCCAGCTATTGTTCTTCAAATGCTAGTGTTTTTATATTTTTATTACAGTTAAGACACTAAACTTTTTCCTGTTCCTGCAATCATATTGCATTGTTATTTCTGTGTTCGTATCCATCACTGGAATTTGTCATGGTCAGCAGTCCATTACCTAAGATCTTAAGAGGAAATTAGTATAGGTTAGTGTCTTAATTGCACTCCTGCAAACGGTTTCTCTGGTACAGCTGCACTATTTATTATTCTGTATATTATATTGCTTTTACACTTCCTTTCTCATATTTATTACTTTTGCTTATTTTCTCATTGTATCTTTTTATGTTATCCAGGAGAAGCACTTCAATATTTTGATTGTGGACATCAAATACACTCAGAATAAATCGTTCCATCAGCAGTCAAACCTTTTGAAAAATAAGTTAAGTGGTTATGAATGCGCCATAAACAACAAGATTTGAGTAGGTTTGATATGCCATTTCAAAATTTCGTTGATTAACATCCCTGACTGTTATAAGATCATTGGAATCCACTTTTTTTTGTGAAGTGTTTTTGGAATGTGGAAGCATGAAATACAATTTATGTTATCGGAAAGAGTATGTCATGTCTACCTTACGCGCTATCGATTGTGTTGCAAATCATGGATTTACTGGGTTGTGTCAGTTTTGTATTTTAATCACTAAGTTCGTTTTCTTCGTGTTTTTTTTTTTGACGTGATATGTTTTATTCGACAAAATCAGTACGACTGGTACTTTGTTTTGCGGACTGTTAACTGACATTTTATGAAGCAATCTTCCAGATGAATCGATATACACCTTCGAATAATTCATTCCCATAATCAAATTCAAATTAGTTTAGGATGCGTCGAAAGTTGCACTCTCCAACTTCTCCACTGTTCATATGAATTTGATTTAAATTGAGTAAATGGTCGCAAGATTAAAAAAAACTACAAGTCTTCGCAATCAAAACTCTTTCCTAAATGTTCTTTAAAATGTGTTGATACGCACAACTTGATGGACGAGTCTGCAAGTAATGACAAAAGCATTCCAAGTTTTCATAATCAGCAAGAGTTCCATCGCATTTCTGAATATCCTTTTTGGAATTACAATACAAGAAGAGTTTCCTTTGTACTGCGCATGTCCAGGATATGTACCACGCCGTTGATAAAGTGTTGAGCAAAATCCAACTCTTCGAACATTATCATCTTCGATCAAAGAAAACCGTTGCTGGAAATCAGAGCAGTTAAATACCGGTGAGGATGCATACTGGTGTAAAACGATTCCAATGTTTATATATCATTGGGAATTATTCTGTAAATTGGCTCTTCTCTACTCCGTTCATTTGCATTATTAATCGTGAACGGATGATTTATAAACCTGAAGTACGCAATGCATAAGCTGAATGAGATCATGCATAATGAGTTTTCTTCCGGAAAATTGGCTTCATTCTCGACCACACTTCATTTTTTTTGGTTTCTCAATTTTATCGATGCGCTGAATCCGCTTCCGTGCTCGTTTTTCTTCACCCTGAAATTAATCCAAGTTCGTATAGTGAAAGAAGGTCAAGTGATGAAGTAGGTAAGTTACTCAATAGCACAATTTCCTTGGGATATCTTGATGTGCCATGTATTATTTCTGCATCTAAAGTTCATTCTTCGATAAAAGTAAAACTTCGATAATACTGCATGATGTTATAAGAGTGACCTAATTTCAAATGTTCTAGACCTTGGAACTGAAAGTAAAATTATCCCGGAAAATGAGACCTATCAGCTAACATTGAAGACTTCAACTATGAAAATAGAGAGTTGTGATTTTTTATTCACAAAAACTTAAGAAACTTAAATGCGACTGATATTAATCTTTCGATTTACTTTACCTACCGACGAAAATAAGTCAAAAGACTAATAATGCTCGTCGCACTTAACAGAAATTTGAGCAAAACATACTTCCCCTTTCTTATCCTTTTTGTTGTTCCCTCGATCATCCGGTGTCTTCACTTGAAACTGCAAAAGAATAAATATGAGAGAGTATTATTCTTGATAAGTCATTCCGGTATCAAACACTTAACTATTAAAAATTTTACCTGGTCTTCTTCAACTTCAGTGACATCAACACCATTCCTCCGTCGCTCCCTCAAATCATTTTCTGGACAAAAGGAGGAATAATGGCTCTCCCATTCTTTTGTGAATAACTGTGGAAACGAATGCTGCAATAAATGCCCAATTTTAAGAAATGCAACAGACCATTGTACATTAATCTTTCTTTGCTTTTATATTGAAACAAAATGAAATAATGTAACGCATGTATCGTAGAAATATTACAGACAGTGCGATCAATTATTTACGATATATAGAAAGAACATACCGATTTTCCATTGAACATTGCTTCTAACTTCAAGGTCAGGTAATCATATACCTGTAATACACAGTCGTTTAATGAGATGTTTTTTCAGATGTAAATGTACGAACAAAGTTACTATAATAAATCGTCGATTATTACTGTAAAGCACTGAACTCCAGAATATGAAATTTTTCCTTCCTTTCCGATGATAACGAAATATTCGCCGGAGTAATCCCAAATAAAAAATATTGACCTTTAAATATCTATTCCAGTGATTTATTTATTGTATATATTTTTAAATATTCATAACTTATGCTTATTTAAGCGTAAAATAATGAAAATCATGTGACAATACGTACTTCGAACATTGCTTCATTCGTTTCCCGGTACAGCTTGTCCATTTGTGGGTCTTCAAATGAAAGCTGACTGCAAAACAGTAACTCGTAATGAAATACTACCGTGAGCTTTCGAATCGGAATTTGTGAAATCATTTGAAGAATTCAATATACAAAAAAGTTCATAATTTCTAAGTCAATATCATCAAACATGCTCATGTAATACAAGCATTTTGTAAAATGATGGTACTCACACGATGGTACATATTTCATAAATTTAGATTAGGCCAACTTCAGGAAATCATAGGTTATAAGAAAAAATTGTGATACATGAATATACCATCGCATATACTGCTCTGGAAAGCACCTTGCTGTTGATGGAATACAATAATCCTCATCCGGAGAAAGCTGCACATACTGGAGAATTTCATCTTGCGCATATCTATAAAGCCGTCAAATTACAATGCAAAATACGTAGCTACACACGCAATCAATAAATTACTAACGACAGTTTATAAAATAACACTTATTCATCATTTTATCCCGAAGTTACATTAGTAATAGGTATGAAAAAAGATTTGAACATTTTTGTAAAGCAACGGTATTCCCGATGTTTTGCATTGTTAAGGTGAAGCGATAACATGACCGCTTTATATATTCCGGCACGCTACGTCAATCCCACAACTCCCTAATAGCTCTGATAAGTATAAGTAGCTATGCTGAGCGCGTAATTGATGGTAATCAAACCTTGGTTTGTCGCCCACAGACTTTAAAATTGGTGGTGGTGCACTTGTCATCATTGCAGCTGATGTTTGGTACCAGTAAGAAAATTCAGTAAAATGAAGTATTAGGTAAACGATATTGGATTTACGTTATCGGATAATCTAGAAAAAGTAGGCACGAGAAGAGCATTTACGCATGCATCACGTAGTAGCGTTGCTGCAGTTCTCTATATATATAATTGAGGGAAGTGAAAAGGAGGATGCAGTAATAGCAGTAGTAGTAGCAGCAGCAGCAAAAGGAGGAAAACAATGGATATGATGATGATGTCCTCGACAACCACCGGAAGAGGTCGATGAGCAGCACTGCACAAGGAAAGAGCAATTAATAGTCATCCTCTATCGGACCCACCAATTAGGATGCTCGGGTTATAATGGTAATGCTACTACTGCTACTGCTACTGCTATTACTACCACTAATAATAATAATAATAATAATTAATAATTAATAATAATAATAATAAT